TTTATGCTTGTAAAACATATATGAAATTAATCAACAGTAGCATGTCAGTATATTTAAAATCATTACAAATCTCTGTTCATATTGCCCATGAAAAATTACTGTAGTATATATTTAGAGCAGGACTTGGCAAACTGTGGCCTAAGGGCCAAATCCAGCATGCTTCTTGTTTTTGTAAATAAAGTTTTATTAGAATACAGAACTGCTTGTTTATTTACATATTGTCTATGGCTACTTTTACTCTGCAAAGGGAGAATTGAGTAATTTTAATGCTAAATGACCCGCAAAGCCAAAACTATTTGCTGTCTGCCTCTTAACAGGAAAAGTTTGCAAGATGTTAATACTGCATAATCATGGCATTTTAGTTTCTTCTGGAGATTAAAGCTCTTTTACATGGGATGAAGTGGCAGAAACATCAAACCAGTTGATGGAAAAAAATCCACTTCTGCCATAACTTTGATAATTTTCAGGACACATATCAACTGACAGTTTTGTCATTCCCTGTTAGGGTTTACATCTCTCCACGATTGTCTTAAGTACCTTTGTAACAGCTTATTCTCTGTGAAATCATTTTACTAACTATAGTCTGGTTGAGAGGATGTATTTGGTTGACTTCATCAGTTTGGCCATGAATAGTGTTCTGCAAAATGCATTGCACCACCAAGTTTCTTGTACCCGCTACACCTATGCTTAACTCCTTGGAAATAAAAGCACTGTGTATTATATAAACCTTAATGTTATAAGCACTTGGGTTTGGATATTTCACAGCTCTTTGCTGTGTTCTCTTAGGAAGAAATTTTCCATAATGTTGCTGTGATTTGTTTTCAGAATCTTTTCAAAGTTAGTGATGTCACTATTCTGTTACAAACTTACTAAATTCATTGTTGTTAGAATTCCCTGATCATTTTTGTACAGCTTAACTTCTGGCAAGTCAAGTGGATTTAATCCCAAGTTTTTCAGCATATTTCCTAAGACTAGATATTTTAACTAAGTGGTTGACATAGAACTCCCCAGTATATTATCATTGTTGAGGCTTTGAATTTCAGCATGTGAATTTTCAAATTCACCTTTTCTCAAGGGCATTTTACCCCTTAATTCTCTGATGACTCTCATGATCAATGGATGAGGGTTGGCAGAGTGATGAGGACTGACCAGTTACAGAATATTTTTAGTTGTGTTATTTTCCTACCCTACGTGCATTTGAATTTCCGAACCATATATCTCTAATAACTGTGTCCTCAAGTTATCTTCATCACCAATCTGATATGACTGATGTAACTGGCATAGTATATTTTGAAGTTTTCCATATCCCTCTCAATTCTTAATATAATTTATTTAACCTTCACACTTGTATTAAGCCACAATCTCTTAGAATGTTTCAGAACTTCCATTGTTGTTTCATAGAATTTCTGGAGTAAATTCATCTGGCATTTTCTTAAAAAGAATTCTCTTTAGAGATGGAGATACAATTCAATAATAGAATTAACAGTTTTTTCAGAATAATTTTTTGTAGCTGTTCCAAATGTAGGTCAATGACATGTCTGTTCATCGTTTCAGGAAAGCTTTGTCAATGTGAAATTCATCTTAGTCGTTTTAATGTTTTCAGTCTCCCTTCTCTTTTTCTTTCAAGCTCCAAAATCTTTCAGAAACTGCATTAATGCTGCTTTGAAATTATAATTCTGATTTTCCAAACCGTCATTTGATTAAATAACTCCCTTCAGAGTATTCCAGGTAATGGCCCTTCTTACCAGTGCACAAGAGACCATCCTCTTTTGGCAGACATTTTGGCTGGCTGTTTCATTGTGGTTTTAATTAACCTTTTCATTTGCTTATTTGCCATTTATGTATTTTCTTTTATGAAGTGTCTGCTCAAATTTTTATCCATTTTATTAGATTGTCTTTTTCTTTAAGTTCTAGATATATTCTAGATACAGTTTTTTTCCCACATATCTGTACTACTTGCCTATTTGTTTTTTAAATGGCATGTTGTGTTTTATTTTTTTGTTTATTTTAATTTTACTATTGTTAACATACAGTTTTATATTAGTTTCAAGTATACTATACAGTGATTCTGTCCATTGCGCAGTGCTCATCATGGAGAGTGTATTCTTTAATACCCATCCCCTCTCCCACCACCCCTCTGGTAACCATCAGTTTGTTCTCTATAGTTAAGAGTCTGTGTCTTGGTTTGTCTCTCTTTGTGTTTTTCCTTTGCTTGTTTGTTTTGTTTCTTAAATTCCACACATGAGTGAAATCATATGGTATGTGTCTTTCTCTGACTTATTTCACTTAGCATTTTACTCTAGCTCCATCTGTGTTGTTGCAAATAGCAAGGTTTTGTTCTTTATTATGGCTAATATTCCATTTGTGTGTGTATACCATATATATATTATACACATACATACGTACACATATATACAGATATATATGTGGCACATCTTCTTGATCCATTCATCTATCAGTGGACACTTAGGCTGCTTCCATAATTTGACTATTGTAAATAATGCTACAATAGACATAGAGGTGCATGTATCCCTTTGAATTAATGTTTTTGTATTTGAGGGGTAAATACCCAGTAGTTCGATTCCTGGATGGTAGGGCAGTTCTATTTTTTAACTTTCTGAGGCAACTCCACACTGTTTTCTACAGTGGCTGCGCCAGTTTGCATTCCCACCAATAGTGCACAGGGGTTTTCCTTTTTCTCCGCATCCTCACCAACACTTGTTTCTTGTGTTTTTGATTTTAGTCGTTCTGACAGGTGTGAGGTGATAGCTCATTGTAGTTTTGTTTGGGCCTTTTTTTTTTAAGTTTATTTATTTGTTTAAGTAATCTTTACATTCAACATGGAGCTTGAACTCACAACACCAAGATCAAAAGGTGCACACTCCTCCGACTGAGCCAGCCAGGTGCCACTCTCATTGTAGTTTTGATTTGCATTTCCCTGGTAATGAATGATGTTGAGCATCTTGTCATGTGTCTGTTGGCCGTCTGTATGTCATCTTTGGAAAAATGTCTGTTCATTTTTCCAGTTAATAAGGTTCTTTCCTGATTTAGTTTGGTGCCTCATTCACATGGGTCTTGAATTAAACATTAACATTAGAATGATTCTGGTTTGGATAGGGCTGTTGACCACATAGTGTTGCCATTGCTTAGTCCTGAAGAAGTGTTTGGACTTCATTAGGTATATTTATCAAGCATTGACTGACTTTATGCCCTACATTATGCTAGGCTCTGTGGAAATTACAAAACAATCACAATTTCTATCCCTATGTGAATAGTTTTATAGGAAAGTTAAAATAAAAATAAAAATATTCTGGGAACCTGATGTGTGTATTCTGCATATCACTAGTGAGTGTGTACATATGTGTGTTCAGAGGAGATTACTTCCTCTCTCTTTTATCAAGTCTTTTCTATATGCATGTCAGACACTGGTAGAAGCTCTTTATAGATTTATATTTTATATATACATTTAATGTAACTTTTACTACAACTTTATAAGGTAGGTGATATTAGTCACAGAAGGTATGAAACTTACCTAAAGTTGTTCAGCTTAAGAAACTGAGCCAACTTTCAGACCCACATATGTGTGCCTCTAAGCTGTGCCCCAGGTTTTAAGGCCTTGAGGTAAATATGGATACTTCATTTTCATCACTTAGCTATATATACCTAAAGTAGGACCGGGAACTCTTATTACTTTAAAGGGCTGGAATCATCTTGGGTCTCTCTTTCATTTGTATGAGCATCCTCTTATTTTTCCATTTTAAAATCATCTTTATTCAGTTGTAATTTATATACAGTAAAATACACGAATTTTAAGTGAATGATTCAGTACATTTTAACTACCACCATAGTTGTGTTGGATAATGTTTCCATATTCAAACGTCAAAAAGTTCTCTTCATGTCTCTTAAGAATCAGTTTTCTCCATTTAACTCCAGCCTCTTCCAAACACTGATCTACTTTCTAAAACTTAAAATTTTGTCTTTATAAGAATTTCATACCCATGATATTAATGGAAAATAATCTTTTGTGTCTGGCTTCTCCAGTCACTTAGAAAATGCTTTTGAGGGGCACCTGGGTGGCTCAGTGGTTAAGCGTCTGCCTTCAACTCAGGTCATGATCCCAGCGTCCTGGGATCGAGCCCCGCATCGGGCTCCCTGCTCTGCTGGGAGCCTGCTTCTCCCTCTCCCACTCCCCCTGCTCGTGTTCCTGCTCTCGCTGTGTCTCTCTCTGTCAAATAAATAAATAAAATCTTTAAAAAAAAAAACCAATGCACTGTTAAAATAGAAGGTCATGTTTCTGTGCTCCAGTTCTTTAGCATGTGAGCAAATAAAATTTAACAAGGAATTTATTAGAAATACCTGGATGCTTGCTTTGTTGTATAAAGGATTGCTGTGATATTATTGACATTTGTTTAGTTTTCGCCATTGGCAAAAGGAAGGGATATTTTTCCCATAGCCTATTTGAGTCCCTTGACATTTGGTGGTCAGTTTCATATTGAGTAGACTGCTGTGTGCATTTTTATGCCATTTGCCCTTAGGATAAACCCCAATTAAGGGACTTCTCTTTTCCTTTTGAGAACCTGGCATATGGGCATCATGCCAAAGGATCATTTAAAGCAGCGATTTTTATACACAGTTTTTCTAATGGGAGCATTTTACCTCCTTTTGAGATTAATTTGAATATTACCTGTGGGAAATCCATTTTGATTACATTTTCCCTCTTGCAATAGAAAGGTCACCAGCTGCACTTCTTGACAGAGATGAATACACATGAGGTATATACAGTAAGCAGGTTCCTTTTCTTCCATATTTTTTCCCTTAATATTTGATTTTGCTTTTGCTTGAACAGTTGGTCCCTGAAGATGCAGTAACTCTGGGCATGCACATGTAGATGTATGTCCCTGCAGCATTTTAAAGCATGTAAATGAGAAGACCTTGTTGTATAAAGTTACACAAATACGTTTGTGATTAACTACTAAACCTCTTTCCTAATGTTTCTACAGGAGTCTCCCCAGGACAGTGCTATCACTCGGGATATTAACCGGACATTCCCAGCTCATGACTATTTTAAGGACACAGGAGGGGATGGACAAGATTCCTTATATAAAATATGCAAGGTATTTCGCATCAAAAAAAATCTTAGTTTTGAAAGGTGATTTTGGTTCTTTGAAATTACACGAAAGGTAACTACAAAGTGTAATTTGTATCTGATGTATAAGAAGGCAAAAAAGGGGGCACCTGGGTGGCTCAGGCGGTTGAATGTCTGCCTTCGACTCAGGTCATGATCCCAGGATCCTGGGATCAAGCCCCCGAGTCAGGATCCCTGCTCAGCTCCGAGTCTGCTTCTCCCTTTCCATCTGACACTCCCCCGTGTTCGTGCTCTCTCTCGCTCACTCTCTCAAATGAAAAAATAAAAAATCTTTGAAAAAAAAAAGACAGAGCGCAGACTTTCTGAAATTGTGATGTTACCTTTAATTTTGTGCTGATAATGAACAGGAAATCAACGAGACATAAAATGGTAAGGTTTCTGTTTACCCTTTTAATCGGGACTTGCAGATGATAGTCCCTTGGCTCCACATTTATTATTTTTTTATGGGGGAGGGGCAGAGGTAGAGAAAGAATCTTCAGCAGTCTCCACACCCAGCACAGAGCCTTGACACAGGGTTCAGAGTTAAGTCTCACAACCCTGAGATCATGACCTGAGCTGAAGTCGAGAGTCAGATGTTTAATCGACTGAGCCACCCAGGTGACCCCTCCCCAACCCAACTCTACATTTAAATTTTCAGAAATTGGTTTTACGTTAAGAGCCTCTGAGTCCTATAACACTGCAAACTCCCTTTTGATATTCCCATTATAAGTTATGAACTTGGCAGCTAGGACACGTCCAACATTGGGAAGTGCTGATGCCTATCTAGGTGGACTTCTAGCACTGCAGCATAATAAATGGTGGGACATAGTGATATCTGTCAAAAGATCTGTACCTGAAACCTGTAAAGGAAATGTTCAATTTCAGCAGTCCATTTTCCAGTAGATTCTGGTACTTCAGAGCTGTAAGGCTAAAATAGGACTTGGGACCAAAGTTCTCCAACTTCCTCTGTCCTCAGAACTAGTCTTTAGTCTTTTCCCCCCAAAATTAATCAAGTACCTATTAGGAAGTACAGACTAGGCATGAGACATGCCCTTAAGAAATTTACATTATTATTGATTGAAAAGGTAGAATTAACAAGTTTTAGGGCAGGCTAATAAAGGACAGGTTCTCCAGGGATAAACTAGATGCTTCAACTATAAGGGCAGTTAGATTTAGAAAAATGTTTCTTTAATTTCCACAAAGTTGTCATTTCTGTTGTGATCCTCTTCTCTGATCATCCTTTTTTAGGCTCTTCTCAGTTGTGCTTCCCACTCATGCAGCCATCCAGCCATGCCTCACTGCAAAATTTCCCATAAAGGAACCCCTGTGCTCACTGCCTCTGAGCCCTTACTCCTGATCCCACTGCACTTTAGTGTCTGTCTCACAGTGGTCTTCCTTGCAGCGCTCTCTGCTCTTGACCTCTCTCACCCTCCCGGTTTTGCTCTCACCTTCTCTCTCAACATTGCTGACTCCCTCTTTATCTCTCTCTCTGCCTGCTCCTAAAACTGAGGCATTCCCCTGGGTGCTCAGTCAGTAGTTCCTTTCTCTCTACACTGTCTCCCTGGTTGACTCCTTCCACCCCCACAGCTTCAGCTACAACCTCTGCACAGATGTTCCCAAATCTGTGTTTAGTTCAAGGCCTAAATTTCTACCTGTCAGTTGGTCTTCATGTAGAAGTCTGTTAAGTACATCAAACAAAAAGGTCTAAAGATAGAGTTCATTTAAAAACATGTTTTATTATGAGAATTTTCAAAGATAACAAAAGTTTAATAGAATAATGAATTCGTATATATCCCCCACCAGATTTAATATTTATGAACATATTGCCACAGTTGTTTTCTCTATTCCTTTTAAAAATTTTCCTGAAGTGGGGCACCTGGTGGCTCAGTTGGTTTAGTGTCTTACTTTTGGTTGTGGCTCAGGTCATGATCTCATGGGTCATGAGATCCAGACCCGTGGCGGGCTCCACGTTCAGCAGGGAGACTGCTTGAGGATTCTGTCTCTCTGTCCCTCCGCCACTCACACTCCCAGGCTCACTCGCTTGTTCTCTCTCAAAAACAAAAAAAGTACTTCAAAGCAAATCTCAGATATCATGAATCTAAATTCTTCACTATTCATCTCTAAAAAATTAGATCATTATTCATCGGTAGTATCCATCATTATCCATCAGTGCCATCCAGTAAACTCCATATTCAGATTTCCCTATATGTCTTTATACATTTGGTTGGAATTAGGATCCAGCAGTATCCATAATATGTTTAGTTGTTATGGCTCTTTTAATTAGAAACAGTCTTCCTTTTTCCCTCCATGCCATTGTCTTGCTGGAGATAGAGTCATTTCTCTGTTAGTTTTCAGTTCCTTCCTTTAGCCACATTGAGTTTGATAGGATTGATGTCTCTTATAGCCATACTTCCCTTTCTAATCACTGCCTGCTACAGACCTCTGTCATATGTGCTAGCACATTTACAAAAGCTGCCTTGCATTAGTCTCCCTCCCTTTGGGTTCTAGCAATTTATTGTTTTCCTCACAATGACCCCAGAATTGGATCTTTTGCAGGGCCTCCACAAAAGTCTTTGGTGCTTCCTCATAACCCACAGAATGAAATCAAAATTTCTTAGTTCATTTCCTGGTCCCAGATTCCTTAGCTTAGCATTAAAGGCATTTTGCAATGTATCCTGGTTTAATTCCTAAATATCTTATGCTTCAACTACATTGAACTTCTCACTGTACTCTGGTTGATTTACACATCAGACTTCCCAACTAAACTGTGAAGTTCTCAAGGGCAGAAATCACTTCTGTGTTTTAGTATCTGTACCACTCGGCACAGTGCTTGGCCTATAGTTGGTGCTCATTAAATGTTAATGAATTAATGAAATGCCTTTTATTCCCCATATTTCATTACAGCTCCCATGAATTTTATATCCTAAACATGTCTCAGATGTGTCATGTTCTTTCACGTCTGTATGTATTCCTTCAAGCTTTTCCATGAGCCTGAAAAATAAGCTCCCCTCAGTTTTCTCCCTGTAGAAATTCAGTACATTTCATCGTGGTACATAATTAAGTCCTGTGCTGAGCAATTTACAGTGAGAGAGCTGAGAATAATACGTCGTCTGTCATATAAATACTGTGATTATTTGCATCTTACAGGTAAGAAATATAAGTAATGGGCCTAAGATCCAGAGAGAGACATTAGCAGTTGTGGGATATCAGCCCAGCTCTGATGAACTCTGAAAGCTCTGTTCCTTCTTGACCAATCAACTATTAATTGATAACTTCACAGACATTGTCAAACTGCTTTCCACAGAGCTCTACTGGCATATATTACTACTGTTTTTAACACAGTTTTTTTTTAAGATTTTATTTATTTGAGAGGGAGAGAGAGCAAAAGCAGGGGGAGCATCAGAGGCAGAGGGAGAAGCAGGCTCCCCGCTGAGCAGGGAGCCCATGTGGGGCTCGATCCCAGGAGCCCAGGACCACGACTGGAGCCGAAGGCAGACGCTAAACTGACTGAGCCACCGAGGCGCCCCTGTTTATAACACAGTCTTAAGAACATTATTAACACTTCTTAGTGTTTACTAATTTGACAGGTGCAGAGTGATGCCTTATTGTATTATATAAACAGATTGTTTCAAAAACCCTCTGCACATCTTGTCTTTGGAAAAGTATATGTGTTTTCTTTGTGCCCTCTCATTAGATAAGCTTCGATGAAATGGGGGATTTAATGAGATTATGTTAAATTCTACCCTCATTTTTGAAAGCATGATTATTTTATATGTGTGTGTATTAAAAGCTATAGTGTTTCGCCAAATGCTGATGATAAAATCCATGTATATGTTAACTTAATTGTCATCTAAAAAGCGTTGGCATCACATTTTGCTAAATGATCTTTATTCTGAACATACTCATTCTAAATTGCTTTCTTGGGATGCAGAGGAAGCATGGCACAAAAAATAAGTGGAGAATAAAGGGAATTTCATCAGAAATAAACTTGTTAAACAGGGAATAACATCTTGAACCTGTAGGAATTTCCCTTTCCACCACAGCTTACATGAGAACTGGAAATACTAATCATAAAAACAAGACTGGAAAACAACTAAAGAACCAAAAAGAGTAAACCACAAGGAATGTTAGATGTCAGTATTCTGTTAAAGATAATGTTCAGAAGAGATGGGCAATAATCATCTGCTGCCAAGAAAAATACGAAATAAGAATTCCAAAGGAACCCACAAATGGTTTCAGAGTAATCCCTCTTATCAGAAAAGTTATTACTGGCATTGTGGAAAAAATTGTATTTTGGTGTCTTTGCCAAAAGATATTTTCCCAGAAAGAAAAATGAATAACGTTAACAGTGTTTAGTGAGAGCCTGCTGTGTGACTGGCTAGGTTGAAGGTGTGAGTTGCTGGCTAGGTTGGATAGGGCATCACCCAAGCCCCTAAGAAGCTCACAGTCCAGTAGAGAGGATGGACATTTAAAATGCAGTGTGGTGAGTGCTGTAATAACTATACTTGTGTAGCAAGTGCGTCAGAGTACAGAGAAGAGAGGGCACCCTGGGGGAATGGAGTGTTTGGAACCTGAAGGAAGAGCACATTTTTCAGACAGAACAGGAGAAAGCAAGGGCCAAGACAGAGTCATGGCAACCTTTTTTTAGTGCTGAAGTGGTTTTTGCTTAACTTTTTCTACTCCTGCGAAGTGGTGTGGCGACAGCTGTGTTTATTGTAGAGAAAAAATTGAAGAGGGGCGCCTGGGTGGCTCAGTCAGTTAAGCGTCTGCCTTCAGCTCAGGTCATGATCCCAGGGTCCTGGGATGGAGCCCTGCATTAGGCTCCCTGCTTAGTGGGGAGCCTGCTTCTCCCTCTCTCTCAAATTAAAAAAAAAAAAATCTTTTTTAAAAATTAAAAAAAAAAATTCAGAAATATTTGCATCATTCACTGACCATCAAAATGCCATAGTGGAGTATGGGTGTCTTCCAGGTTCCTATGTTCAAGGTCCTATAGGCAAGTATGGCCCATGAGTGACTATATTTATTTATTTATACCTCCTGTGTTTTTCTTTTTTCAGGCATATTCTGTGTATGATGAAGAGATTGGCTATTGCCAGGGCCAGTCATTTCTCGCTGCTGTTCTGCTTCTCCATGTGAGTATTAGGTCTCTGTTTTGACTTACACATGACCTGCCTCAGCTTATACTAGCCTTAGACTTGAGCATGGTTTTATATGGCCTTTGGCCAGACTCTAGTGCATGAGTTTTACTCCTGTATCTGGAAACCTTTTCCGTAATTTGACATCCTCATGGAAGAGAAACACGGTAAGAATAAATGACAGTGTTGAACACTAGTACAGGAGTGGAGTTCATTTTTATTGCTAGAATGATTGGATAGTCTTGGCTGATTGAACCCTTAGGGACATTTTATATTCTATAAAGTAGCCACTGTCATTAGTATTTGTTTGGGGATCTGTGTATTAGTGGTGGGAAGGAAGCAGAGAAGCTGGCTTTCTTTTAGTGCCATTTTATTCATTTTTTATTCAGCAAAGACCTTTACCCTCTGACTTACTGATATTCTTTCAAATCCACAGCTGAACTGAAAAATCATTAAGGTGGAATACCCATAAACTCTTCTTCTATTTTACCAATTAATATTTTACCACACTTTCTCTGTCTGCATCTCTCTTTTCCTCTTTTTTTACACAAATTTTATTTTTTACTAAAAAACATTTTTTGAAATTATTTTTGGAAAATCAGTAGCAAATATCAGGGTACTTTACTCCTATATACTTGAGCATGTATCTCCTAAGGACATAACCATAATACTGCGGTCACATCCAAGAAATTCCACACTGATTCAGTAATGTCTTACACAGAGTTCGCATTTGATTTTCCCCAGTTGTTTACACAATAAAGTCTTTTATAGCTTTTTTTTTTTCCCCCTAACCAAGATGAGTGAAGATTCAAACAATGCATTTAGTGTCATTTTTCTTTACTTTTTTAATCTAAACTACTCCCCTCCCCTGCCTTTCTTGTGCTTTATGCCATTGACAGTCTTGGAAAATTCAAGCTTTGTAAAATATTCCACATTCTTGATTTGTCTTATCATTTCCTCATGATTAAAATTAAAATGCTGGGTGAAAACACCACACAGGTGATTTAGCAGAGAGTTTGTGGGCACCTCCATCTTTGGCACAGTAGATGCGAGAGATCAGGAGTGAATAAAGTAGACATGGTCCCAATCTTCGTGGATACAGAGCTAGTGAAGCTGACTAGCTATAAGCAGAAAGTCACAGAAGTATGTCTTTATTGCCTCAGTGGCGACATGAAGGTATAGTAAAAAGTTTGATGCAAGATTATAACAAAGGAGCCTTATTTATATCACAGGCTTCTCTGGGGAGGTAACCTTTAAGGTGAATGCTGAAAAATATGAGGTATCCATTTTCTTTTGTACTTATCTGTATCATTTAACTTTTTTAAGCTAACATTATTATGAAAATAAGAAAACTATTTTAAAAGAAAGAGTGGAGAGTAGAGCACTCCCACCAGAGAGAATAGTACAACCTTATAGAAGCACTGAAATGGGCAAGACTTGGCCTATGAAAGGAACTGGAAGCTGGGCAATGTGACTGGAGCATTACCTGTGATGGGAGATGGAGAGGGAGCTGGAGAGGCCAGCTCAAGGAGTTCGGATTTTGTTTCCCTAAACAAGGGGAAGCTTTTGAAGAGTTTTAAGCCGTTTTGTGTAGGTTGTAATACAAGTAAAACCAAAACCACTTTGTGTCTTCTTTCTGTGAGAACCTAGCTTATTGATATTAGTAACCATGTAAAAATATGATAAAGCTATGACATTAATAAAAGGGTCAAGTTTTTTCCCCAGCTTTATTGAGATATAATTGACAAATAAAAATATGTGTGTGTGTGTGTGTGTGTGTGTATGGTGTATAATTTGATGAGTTGATATGCTATACATTGTGAAATGATCCACAGTCAAGCTAATTAACATCCATCAAAAGGTCAAGTTTTAAAATTTGTTGTTTTAATAAGACTTTATATCTCAGAGTCTCTCAAGCTTGTGTGGTTTGTCTTTGTTCTCAACTTCAGTCCAAGAACATTTGTCCCCATTTAAGTATCACAACCCCTTTAAAATGGGTTTCCCAGGACGCCTGGGTGGCTCAGTCGGTTAAGCGGTTGCCTTCAGCTCAGGTCATGATCCCAGGGTCCTGGGATTGAATCCCACATCTGGCTCCCTGCTTGGCAGGAGCCTGCTTCTCCTTCTGTCCCTGCCTGCCGCTCCCCCTGCTTGTGCACTCTCTCTTGCTCTCTCTCTCTGTCAAATAAATAAATAAAATCTTTGGAAAAAAAAATAAATAAAATAGGTTTCCCGGATAAATCCAGTGTCTTGGTTTGAACTCTGCGCTGCTTGCCGTTGTGTTAAGATAAATGCTTGTTTCAGAGGAAAAGCAGTTGTGCTACCTGACATCAGAAATTCTTCTCTGGGGCAGACCAAGTGTCCCACAGCATGTGGAAGAAATTATGAAATTGCCTTCCATGATAGAGACCTCTGAGATCTGGTCCTTTACTCCAAATGCCCTTACTTGTCCAATAATAATTTGCTGTGCTTTTCTCCTTTATTACTTAATCTGATTTGTTCTTTAGCTCTGCTTTATTCTCAGTGATATCTATGTTCAGCCCACCTCATCCTCTGTTCCACAGAAGCCCGCCCACCTTCTTGACATTTTGAAGGTTTGCTACAGTCATACCAAGCCTTAAATAACATTTCCAGTACTTTTTTCTATTTTGAAAACTAGACATTTTGCCAGGTTCTCAGGGAAATATTTTTTCCACAAAGCTGTGAAAGATGTAGGTATTATTATAAATGGGTAACATCTGTAAATAGAAATGAAGTGAGGGTTTTGTAGTATTTTAAGTATTACCATAAACATTACAAAGTACTTTGAACATTACTGTTAAACCTTAGAATATTTAAGGTTCTGCTGTAACTGGCCATGTTTGTAACAACGAGGAAGAAGAAAATAGCTAAGGAGGTAAAATGATTTAATAAAGGTGTCATGGGGCGCCTGGGTGGCTCAGTTGGTTAAGCGACTGCCTTCGGCTCAGGTCATGATCCTGGAGTCCCGGGATCGAGTCCCCACATCGGGCTTCCTGCTCAGCGGGGAGTCTGCTTCTCCCTCTGACCCTCTTCCCTCTCGTGCTTTCTATCTCTCATTCTCTCTCTCTCAAATAAATAAATAAAATCTTAAAAAAAAAAATAAAGGTGTCATGATTTGAGAAAGATGAAACCTATACTTGTGTATCAGCCTATTGCTTCTCAGTTCAGATATGGTCCTACAAAGCCTATTCTTGGCTCCCTCAGGCAGACTCAGGCTTTCTTGTTCTTGTATCCCCACTGATCTTTCTACCTAATTCATAGGTAGTTGTGAATATGAATTCTACCTAATTCATACTTACTGTGTACTGATTGATTGTATGGGAAGCTTCTTGAGGATAGCAACAGTATCTGACAAAGAATAGGCATCATTAATATCCCTTGGTTGAGTGAACAAATGTCGTAAGACACAACTATCTGAGTTACTACATATCACTGAAATTTCCTAGTTTTTAGATAGGAGTGGAAGGATGAATTTAACATACTGAGAAAACTTCTGTATGTTTTGTGATCCCCACCCCTTTCTCTATCTTTACAGATGCCTGAAGAACAGGCATTCAGTGTTCTAGTCAAGATCATGTTTGACTATGGTCTCAGGGAACTTTTCAAGCAAAACTTTGAAGATTTACATTGCAAATTTTACCAGTTGGAGCGCCTCATGCAGGTAAAAAGAGAAACCAGCTTGCATTTGCCACTAAGAGTGCAGGACTTGGGAGAACCAGGTTGATGAAGTGGTGCTAAGGAGCAGTGGTGATTGCTTTAGCCATCCAGGGTTAAGGACTGGTTTGATGTTTTTCATTTCTCACTATGTGATGACGATGCCAAGATTAATAAGGTGTGAACCTGATGGGTGTGAGCTAGGTTTTCACCCAAAAGATCAGATGACTTTGTAGGGGCCTTTAACACAGCAAACTAAGTCAAGAAATATCTGCCAAGGCTCTGAAGCTAACTGGTTAGGAATATCATAATAAAAGTGAAACAAACTTTTCCAAACATTTCATAACTTGGAAAGAAAAACTATCATTCCAAATATTTGTCACCATCTTGGGGATTCCTCTTCTGAGCTAGTTTGTGGGCTGGAAAGGGGAGCCAAGTGTCAGATAATAAGTGTTGTTCTGAGCACATTGGAGATTTGTAGGAAAGCACAAATATGTGACTTTTTTGGCCTATTCCTGGCAGATTTATGAGCCTTCCAAGTGGGAGTTGGACATCTGCGTATGTGCCCAAAACTAATTACTTTGCTATTTCAGGAATACATCCCTGACCTGTACAACCACTTCCTGGATATAAGCCTTGAAGCGCACATGTATGCCTCCCAGTGGTTTCTTACACTTTTCACTGCAAAATTCCCTCTCTACATGGTCTTCCATATCATTGACCTGCTTTTATGTGAGGTATGTATCAGAGGCCACAGCACTTTGGCTTTTGGCTTTTGTTTTCATTATCTTCCTGTGTCAGCTCCATTAAAATAGAATTTCTTCTTAGTTAATTTTATTTTTTTGCTCAAAAATCCAGATTTAAGTAACTCTTCCTTGGGCTAAAACTAACAATCAAGTTTTGTTAAAGGTGTTCTCTGCTAAAAAAACAAACAACCTACTGTTTACACATTTGTATTACTGTTAGGTCTGGCTGCATTTATTGAAGAAACCCAAAATAACAATGACTAAATAAAGTAGAGGTTCATTTCTCTCTCATGTGAAAGAAGCCAGAACGCTGGCAGTTACCTGCCTTCCCTAGAGGGCCAGGGGACAGGGGAGGATGTGTCCCCTCTTTAAAAGAGACTTCCTGGAGGTTCTACCCAAATTTTCACTTATCTCTTATTGGCCTGACCACATCTAGCCACAAAGGAGAGTTTTTTAAAAGCTGGGTGGGAATTTGCTAACAATTGGAGGGTCTGTTACTAAAACAAAAATAAGATATCAGAATACATAACAGTCTTTGCTGCGGCATAGTTTTGGGGTGTATGTGTTTAAGAAAAAAATAATTTCAAAAATAATACGTATTTATTATAGAAACCGGAAAACACAAGCAAAAGGATTTCAAAATACTTTAATCTCACTCTCTAGAGAGTAACTCCTAACATTTTGGTGTATATTCTTTCAGCCTTTTATTGTGTTTATTTACGTACATGTGTTAACTTCTATACAGAATAACTTTTTTCATATGGAATATTATGTAATGATGTAATTATGGCTCTGGAAGTATGCATTTTAAAATGATTCTGCCTATGCTGTTCGATAACCTCTTTTCATTTCATATATTTGAACACTTATAGACACACATCTGTACCATCCTTCTTCATGTTTAATTATGCCATTTTCAAGGCGTACAAAAATCCGTTAAAGCATTTGTACCTTCTACCCAGCTTAAAACACTGTCAGAAACACTGATACCAAATACACTATTATTCTTACCTGCTGCCAAGTATCTCATTCTTTGGGGATATCATAGTTTATGTAACCAATTGCTAGTCTCAGACCTTTAAGTTTTATAGTTTCTCAGCATTATAAACAACCATTTGTTTTAAGTAGTTACCACCGGCCTGGTCGTGCTAAGTAACTTAAATGAACTTTTCAACTAATTAGCTCAGAAAACCCTTGGGGGAGAGTATTAGTTATAGAAACCAGCATCCAGGAACTTAAAGAATTTAGCAGGTCTTCATGCCTCCCCTTATCTTTCCTTTGCCCCTAGCACTCTCAGAATGGTTAGCTGAAGAAAGGCAGATTTGAGGGAGCCCTGAGCAGGTTCTGTTCTGGGATAGAGGGTTCACAGACAGAGTGACTGCTGCTGTATTTGGAGTGGGGTAGCACAAGATAAAGGAAAAGGCCACCTGCGGTTATTTTCTGAAAGATCACAATTTTATGGGTCAGATGCTTTGGTTGGGAAGCATAGAATACTTTGGAAAAGTGTTCTTTCTTGTTGATTGTGAGACTAGGGCTAAAAAAGTCCGGAAGAATGGGAGACTGGGTCTATTTTAAGCTGTTTTTCAGTAGCAGATCTGTAATTATTATTTTCCAAGATATTTTCAAGATATTCCATTTCTTAGTTTTTATACTTTCTTTAAAATTGTGGGGCATTCTGGGGACAGACAGCTGACTAGTCCAGATACAATCACTGAAAATCTTCTTTTTGTGTTTTCTCTTTTAGGGAATAAGTGTGATTTTTAATGTCGCCCTTGGATTATTAAAGGTACACATTTATTTGTAAATTGAGTGACATCCCCAGTCCAGCACTCAAAGTATGTTGGTCTTGATCTCCTTCTAAGCAGCCACCGTGCGGTAGCCGTGGCCTTGACAGTGACTCAGGCACTGGCTAAGAAGCATCTTCTGGGGATTGTAAAGGTGCTGGTGTTTTAAAATGCTTCTTGGAAGCATCTTCATAGCAAAGAACTTTTCCTATACATGGTTGTGTTTTCTTTCTTTCTTCAAGACTTCTAAGGATGACTTGCTGTTGACAGACTTTGAAGGTGCCTTGAAGTTCTTCAGGGTTCAGCTTCCTAAGAGATACCGCTCAGAAGAAAATGCAAAAAAACTAATGGAATTAGCTTGCAGCATGAAGGTAAAATAATATTTGCATTAATTTAGATTCTTTTGTTTAGTTCATGTCTCATCATTCCTGATCAAACTATGAACATTTACAATACATTAATAATAATGATGTTTGTATTGTATAATATTTTTCCAGATATTTTCTTACATATTATATGCCCTATGCATTAAATCTCATTGTTCAAATCCCAGCCTTTGGACTCTAGGGAAGGTATTCTTCTCATTTTGAAGACCCAGGAAACAAAAAGAGCCTGTAGCTCCTAGCGTCATACAGCTAAGCAGTGGCAGGACTCAGGTTTCACGATTTCCACTGTGTTGTTTAATTTTCCATACTTGTGGTTTTGGTCAGAAATTCCGTCAAATGAAACTAATAATTAATGAAGGAAACTCATTTTTATCACTTTCAATGGTATTTATGATTTGTATAATTTTTTAAGGTAAAAAAAAGGTAGCATCTCCTTGTATTCACTTTGTAATGTGAGTGGGAGAAACTTCGGTATCTGCTAACCAGAGCATGGACTTGGAATCAGAGAGATCTGAATTCAGAGTTACTTTACCTATTTAAGGCACAGTTTCCTCATATGTAAAATAATAGTGGACCTCCGGTTCTGGTTATATGTCAGACTAAGCTAACTCAGGCTGCCCTTCTTTAAACACTTGGAGGTAGCAAATATCTGGATGAACTTGAAAGAAAAAAGAGAAATCCCAGGTACCTAAATCACAGTAGCTCAAAGCTAGTGTGTATGAAGTGGTAAAACAACATCCCAGGGGAATATGGTAGGAACTATAGGTGTAGGTATGAGAGTTTTAATGCTCACGAAGCCATATAATATGAAAATGGGCCCTCAGGAGGTAGCTGAACCTGGAATCTCTGCATAAAGTTAGGACCTTGGAATGCCTGCCCTCTTTGTGAAAGGGGGAAGGAAGTACTAAAACTACCTACCTATTAAGCTTGAGAAACAATAGAAATTCTAATGTAAATTGAACCAAGGATTTGAAAAAGAAATAGAGCCTCTAGTTAGTGAAATAATTATTAAAGTTATTGTTCAGCTTAAAATGTTACATACTTCACAAGTACTCTGGATAAGATTTAATGATATTTTCCCATGTGCCAGGTACTGTGGTTAAGTGCTGTCATGTGTGAGAATTAACTACACTGTGTACAGTGCTTACTATAATGCCTGGTAATTAGTAAGCATTCAAGAAATGATGGCTCTTACTGTGGTTATTCCCTCTCTGGTTTTTCTTTTTTCTTTCTTTTTTTTTTTTTTAAAGATTTTATTTATTTGAGAAAGAGCACAAGCAGGGGAAGTGGGAGAGGGAGAGGCAGGCTCCCCACCAAGTGGGGAGCCCAGCGTGGAACTTGATCCCAGGACCCTGGGATCATGACCTGAGCCAAAAGCCAACGCTTAACCAACTGAGCCACACAGGCGCCCCCTGGTTTTTCAAGCAGATATCAAATCCACACTTTTTAGAAACATTTTCAGATGGTGGGTTTGTGCACAGAGCACAGAACCAGGTGAACTCTGCGGTTCTCTGAGTCATTCTTTCCACTTCAGCCTGGTTCACACAAGAGGAGGCCTCTTAGTTGCTGATTTCTTCCCTTCCAAAATCTCCTTTTTCAGTGTCCCATTTTAAGTTCCTGGAACTGGCCGCTCAGGCCAAAACCCTTACTTATTCTCCATACCTCTTTCTCTCTCACACCACATCTTGGTCCTCCATCCCAGCCCTGTTTTCACAGTACACCCTGAATCTGATTGCTTTTGCCCCTTCTCACTAACACCCTAGTGTAACCATCACTGTCACTTGTCTTCTGGAGTGTTCCAGTGGACTCCATGTCTTCCCATTTCCACAGTGGTTTTCTTTCTCTTTTTTCTTTTTTTTTTTTTTTTTTTTAAGATTTATTCACTTGAGAGAGAGCGGTGGGGAGAGGCAGAGGGAGAGAAGCAGACTCCCCACTGAGCATGGAGCCCAGTGACCGTGCTGGGCTTGATCCCAGGACCCTGAGATCATGACCTAAGCTGAAACCAAGAGTCAGATGCTCAACGGACTGTCACCCAGGTGCCCCAATGGTTTTCTTTTTTAATCCCATCTGTCCCTTACTTAAAACTCTCATGGCTTCTTATCTCAGAATGAAACTCAAGAGTTTTTGCCTAGGCCTACAAGGTGCAATGCCGTCTGACCTCTGACCATCTCTCTGATTTCACCTCTTCCTCCTTTTCCCCCTTACACCTTCCACTTCAGACAACCGGGCCTTCTTGCTGTCCTCAAACATGCTGAGCATGTTCACTCCTCAGGCCTCTTCACTGGCTGGTCTCTCCACCCATCATGTTCTTCTCGGTGTCCACGTGGTGTCACAGTCACCTCATTGAGTCTTAAGCTCAGATATCATGCCATCAGAGAGGACTTCTCTAATCACCATAGTAGCTCCCTCAACACTTTACACCCTGATCTCTTTATCCTGTCTTACTTTCCTCCTATCACTTATTGTTACTTAACATTATCTTATATGTTTATTGGATTACTGTCTGCCTGCCCCCTCCCCAAACTAAGCCTGCAGCAGAGAAAACTTGATCTCATTTATTGCCAGATCCCCAGCATAAGAACAGGACTTGACATATAAAAATTAGTTGAATGAGTGAATTAAATGAATATGCTGCTGAGTTTCTACCAAGTGTTGTCTTATGAAGAGTTGGAGAGTTAATGTGGCTTTGGGAAAGGCTTAAAATAGCTTCCAGCTGAAGGTTTTACCTTTTGGGTTTTCAGGAGCTTGAAACACTTTAATAATATATGGATCCTTTATTTCCATAGTCCAGGTTGGAGGTGTCTAATATCTTTTTTTTTTTATGCCTGTGCTTTCAAGGAGTTAAGGTAGACAAGGCTGCACAGCACACATATTTTGTGCTTAGATACATAATTCCTTCTGGCCCTGGAGAACTCTGCATGGCTGGGGTACACTTTGGATGATTCCCCCTACTTGCATATGGTTTCGGGTGAGAAAGTTAGTAATTTTTCTTAAAATTGATTCACGGTGTGAAAAGCCTGCATATTGAACAGGACATGAGAATGAAATTGTTCTGCTAAAAGGTGGGATGTAGTGTAGTTAGGGATGGTTACTTGTACTCTGGTAGGTATATTAATGCCAAAAATTATTAAGAGAAACATAGGCAGTAGTTGAGCCAATTATTGGCAAAGAACCTCAGGCACAGTGATAATTTGCTAGCCCAAAAATAAGGAAACTCATCAGCAGGCTCAGTCATGAGCCCTGCATTATGTGGACTGCATCATGTGGGAGGGCCTCCGTTGGCAGGAAAGGACAAATGATCATCTGTGGGTTTGGAGCCCCCTCTAGACATGGAAAAGGGGATTCTTGCTTTATGAATGGCCTGGAAACTAGCTTTTGAACTTTCTGGTGTAGAACTTAGAAAGGAAACATTGGCTTTGTAACTCAATGAAATCCCGTTCCATTATTTTTTAATTTCTTAAATATTGTGGCTTGGTTTTCTCAGTTGTACTTCCTGACTAGGGTGGGAATTAGGAATACTTTGCCTCACATGCCAGTTGAGGAAATAGTTACCTTCTTTTGTTGCTGTTGTGTTTTAACAGTTTTGATGTTGTAATTTCCGGTATTTGTGTAGTTTTTATGGATATCTCCTTTCTTCCCTTCAGTACCCTGTGAGGTATGCAGGGCAAGTCAAGTGTGGCAGCTGAGGCTTATAGAAGTCAAGGGACTTACCCACTGGACCTCGCTGGGCAGCGATGGGGGCCCTTGTGGAACTCAGGCCTTCTGACTCCACATTCCCAAAGCCTTCCACACCATTGTGTGGCCTCTTAACTGCCCAATTGCAGTAGGAATTAAGTCAGGTGTGGCAATATCTGAAATGGCCACCAGATGGGGATGTTGCTCAAAAAGCTCTGTATTCCCATCTCTGCCTGTGTCTTCCTTTTCTCTATAAATCTTTCTCTGTCAATCTTTATTTGCCTCTTTCTTAATTTCTCTCTCTTCAGTCTTTTTACTTCTCCCCTTCTCGCTCTTGCTCCTTACTTTTATTATGGAACTGAAATATTTTGTTTACTTTTTAAAGAGTCTTAGATCCCCTGCTCTTAATTTCAAATTTAACAGCATACATCAGAATTCATTGAGCCGTCCATTGAGTTGCTCTTCCTTTATGGGTCATTGTCTTGAGATAGAAAGATCATTTCCACTTCTGATAGAAGATCTAAAAGGAATTTCACTTTTTTTTTTAAAAGATTTTCTTTTTAAGTAATCTCTACAGTCATTGTGGGGCTCAAATCCACAACCCCACGATCAAAAGTCCCATGCTCTGCCAACTGAACCAGCCAGGCGCCCCAGGAATTTCACTTTAAATAGATTGTTCCAGGAGATCATCAATGGTCCTAGGAGCTCCATAACTCTTTCATACTCATAACTGGGCTATGCATTGTGTTTAAAGGGAGAAAATGGGGAAAAAAATTAATTCATAGGTCTTAAATTTTTTTGATTCAAGAAATATGAGAGCAGCTGGTTTTTTGAGATGTTTGAGAGCAAATCAGATATGTAAGGCTAGTTCAGAAGAAGTAGGAGCCATAACAGAGATGGCCGGTGGGTTTCTTAGAACAAACCTGAGTGAAAACTTGACCGTTTCACTCTGGAATCCTATCTGAGGTGAAATGGATCTTCTGAACCATTGATTGCTTCTTTGGGATGTGTTATTTTCAGACTTAAAGTGAATGTGCAAGACTTCAAACTACCTATAGAAAAAGATATTACAGAAACCAAATAGCAGTTTCTCCAAACTAATGTAATCCTAACCATTTGCTATTTGGAGAAACAGAAAACCCTGGCATTTGGGAATATTTGCCTTTGGGGGATATTTTTATTCAGGAGCTAAAAGTAGTATTAGTTTGAACTTCATTCTCTGCTCAGATCATTTGTATATTAGTGTATGTTAGGATTTTAAGTTCTGTGATTGCAGTGTTGCTTCTTAATGTGTTCACAGAATCTTGCTT